TGGGCGGGGTGCCACCAAGGTGAGGAGCGTGAGGGGCCGACCGGAGGTGGCTCCATGGGCACTCTCCTCACGGTGCTCCACTCCCCGCGCCCACAGTCCACAACGAAGACCCACGTGATCTGCTGTGTTCGCCGCGTGGGGTTTCAGCCTCGAGCCCACGCCCAGGGCTCCCCCAGGAAGCTGAGGCTCCTCGGGGAGCGAGTTTGAGCAGCAGGCTCACAGCGCCGCCCATGCTTCTGCGCCCGAGTCCGGCCCAGTGAGGGTGCGAACAGCCAGGCTGGGCTTGGAAGCGCCCCCTGGTTGGGAACACCAGGCCCCGCAGGGAGTCGTCGGGAAGATGGGAGGAAAAGAGGGGGTGTCTCCCTGTAGGGCAGTGAGGAGAGGCCGCATGGCTTGGGGCCCACCTTTGAGAGTCGTCAGCAGGGACCCCAAGTCTGAGGGCCTGAGGGTGCAGCAGCAGCTCGGGGAAAGGTCGAAAGACAACGAGCCCTGGATGAGGCGTTTCCGGTCCCCAGTTAGGAGCCCTGGTGGGTGTACCCCCGCTGCACCCCCACACGTGCACCCCAAACGTGTTCCCAGGGCGAACGTAAGCCTGAAACCCTACCCAGGCAGGGGGATGCCATCAGACACCGCAGACCAGCTCAGAGGTGCTGCCAGTGGGGACCCGGACCCAGGGGACCCAACCAGGTGACCAGGTACACAGAGCAGACTACCAGGTCTGTCTCCGGGGTATCAGCTCGACCCCCGGGGCTCCTGGGTGCTGAGGAAGGAGGGGTCAGATGGAGAAGCCGTCTGAGGCGCTGGGACCCCCGGGGAGCGGAGCGGAGGGGTGGCCGCGGACACTCACCTTCTTGCAGGCCTGGTACCAGTTTGTAAACAATGTCTTGCATGGTCCTATCATGACTGGGGGAGGAGAGAGAAGCCAATCACCACACGCATCAGCCCACCCAGCTCTGGGGCCTCTCGGCGGGTCGCCCCAAGCCCCGTCTGGAGCTGAGGGTGGCGTGGGGGAGGAGAGCTGGGACA